AAATGTATTTTTTGAAAGCATGTAAAAAAGTACTTACTTGAAATCTTGAAACTATTTTCTTATCTTAAAAATGGTAAGACAGGATGCAATACAATGCTCATGCAACATGCATACTCGACTGCGGACAAGGTGGAAATGTTAGATGTTTTTATGGCATAGCGGGTAAACCAGCAGATGGGTCACCTGATAGTAAGTAACACCTGCAATTCTAGAGACGCAAGTGCATTTCTGATCCCTAAAATAGGAGGGTGGATTTGAGCCTTCAGTTACTTTAGTCACTCGTTGAGCAACGAAAGAATTAATAACATCCATTTTATTGGTGTCACTCCGGTCTAGCCGGCCCAAAATTTGCCCAAGTATTCACTAGGACCTCATTTTACATGTTGAAAACTCTAAAAGCTACAGACTCTTTAGTCAGCTCAGCTTTACTCAGCTTTTAGACTCTTCCTTGTCAATAAAATCATATAAAATCGTACATATGTATCGGGTGATTAGCATAAAAATGTTCTCGTATTACATTTTACACAACGTGAGTAGTTTCGTCTCTTATAAGAGAAACACTGGTCTTTCTAGATAACAATAACATATTGATTTGTTGTACACCTGGTATATACAAAAAATCACTTAAACTAGGCGAGACGAGTACAAGTGGCGGCCTTATCGCACAGAGGCAATCTCTTACAGACAACCGTTATGTTTATATAAAACATGTAGGGGAAAGAGGTGTTGGGTAGTGGCTGGTGTATTAGGAAATAGATAAGAAGAGGAAATCAAAGTAGTATAAATATATAAAAATGATCGTTACACATAGTATCGTTTTGTTAAACTTTAGTGAGTATATAAGGTGCTAGAGGGAAAACACTAACATAAAATACAACATATATCTAGAAAGAAGAAGAGTTGTTTTCAATGTCGTCGGAATCAGTGTGGATGTTGCAGATAGGTGGGCCACTCCAAACTATAATATGTGATATGATAATGTAATATGTTATTTTAGACGATTCAAATTTGACATTATCAATTCTTCGTACCCTCGTCAAGATTTCTCCACGATAAAAGTCAAAGTATTATTTAGAATCTACTTTGCAAAATGTCCTAGTCTCGCCTAAATTATGTCTTCATTTGGGTAAACTACGCAGAGTATAATATACGTCTAAAGGTTTGAAGAATTTTTTTTTTCTTCAAATATTGTAGAAGAAAATTGGTTCTTTAATAATAATGTTCTCTGAAATACAAATAAATAGGTACGTAGAACACTTGGTGTGACATTACAAATCATTAAAGCGGCGAAAAGTAAATTTGGACTGGAAATCATTCCTTAAAATTGATTTTAACAGTGAAATGTGACATGGTTTTTAGCAAAATAGGTCACATAAATAAAAAATAAATAAAAAATATTGTTGTATCTGTATCTCTTATTAAACTAGACATAAAAAGGTATATCGTTTTACTTGTCAAAAGAAATTGTTGAAATAATTCAGTGTTAGCAGAAATAACGATTTCAGTTTTTTTACTACATAACGTTGATTGTTAAGTACATTTGTCTTTATCTTTAATGCCATTTAAAATGTACATTTAACATAAATATTTTACATACACATCAACAGGCTTTAATAGTCCACTGCTGGACATAGGCCACTCCTATCAAAGGAGGTTTACACTGTGTTAATAATATCACATGTCAAACTTACTGATTAATTATTATATTATTACTTTGTATTTATTTTGATTCGCAATACGTCAAGGTTTTATTTTGCGATAAATTTTGCTGAGTGTAATATAATCGTTTATTTCTCTCTTGAGTTTTTTATTTCAGTTTTCAATATTCTTAGACGCAAGCTTAAATAAATTTAACAAATCATTCAGATGGCATATTCTAGCACATCCCAAAAATCTTTCTCAAATACTTAATTACATTTAGATATGAAATATTAAAACTAGAAATCATGTACCTTAATTAGTTTTGTCTGTCTTTTTATCAAATTATCTTAATAAACTTAACAATCCTTTTCCAAAAATGTGAAAAGAAAACTTCTAAATAGGCGTTTAAAACAATCCACATTAAGTATAATTACATAAAACAGGCGATATATCAAAGTCTTTGGTTTATACGATGATAAAAGACATAGATTTTCGAGCGGGAGACTATAAAAATGATGTATAGTCGGCTACTTTGTATGTGTAGCGCGTCGTTGGGTAATTTATCAGCCACCGTTGTCGGTGAGTGTACCAGCTTTGTTTCAGCGCTCTGCGCGGCTGTGACACTGGGACACAATTCATACAATACAAATAATTGAATGCCACTAGTTTGTACTTCTGATGTCCTACTTGTGCAGTAATGTACCATTGTACATTGATATCTTTTCATATTGGTACCAGAAAACGGGAAATGTTTTTATTGAGATTGGTTTTAAATGTTTTTTGTTTCTGGAGCGGTATTGGTAGCGGTTTAATAGTATAACAATGATCGAAAGATTTTTTCAGGTCATGGTCTCGTGTTAATTTTTTTTTCCTTGCAGGACACATTTTATTACAGTTAGATAGTTACCACACGTCAAAAACTTTTAATTTAGTATTTTACCATCACAACACGGACACGTATAAGGTTTTTCATGTCACTTTAAAAGGATTTTACATACAGCGATTTATATGAGAGATTGAAAATTGTTATTGACATATATTTATTGTTGATATGTAAAAAGTTAAAAAGTCTAAGCGACATCGTGTGTTTAATTAAAACTATACAAAGGACAATATAATAACTCAATCACACTACAATTTTACTTTGAGCCTTTGTTGTGGCTTAGGCTGTAGTTGGTTAACTACAAGAACGTGGTAATTTATAAATTGCACTTTATTAAGTGCCGACAAGCTTCATAACTCACTTTGAACTCATATATTTTCTGTAATTGTTTGAGCCAACCTCGAAGTATGCTCCATTCCTTACTATTTATAATTGGCTTTTAAATCATACAATCCTATGAAAGAACTTAATTATAAATATGTACTACGGCAAGACGACATGCAACCACATTTATGCAAACACATCGATGACGAAAAGCAAACAATTGGTGAAAAAAAGTTAGGAAACTTAGTGCACCTTAATTTTGTATATCCTTTAAGAAGACTAAAAATTTCTTTAGAGAAATGATTTTATTTTGTTTTTTAAACATAAACTTTTTCACCTTTTTTAAGCAACTTTAGATTTTGTTATCAGAAAACTTATTTCATCAAAATGATCAATAGAGAAACGTCGAAAAATTTCCCATTGGCCTCAGGCACACATCAACTTTGATGACAAGACTAAGATAAAACTACTATGTTTTAGTGAAACAATGTCAAATAGGAATGATTCTTTAATATGATGTTATAAACGAGTCGAAATGATGAATTGCACTGCATTGCTCATGCTCTGATATTATGCAAAATCGTGGTACAAAGTTAGTTCGATGTTTGTCAGAACATAAATTAGCTTATAGATAACTAAGCATCGTATTTATTGTCGACAAAAAGATTAGTTAGAATTGATTATGGAGGTGACTTAATTACTTATGACTGCACGGATGGCGTAGTGGTTAAAGCGGTTGCCACGCCGCTTTCTACTACGCTGAGTGTTGTGCTTACGATCCTATCATGGGACGACACTTTGTGTGATCCATAAATTGTTGTTCTGAGTCTGCGTGTTTCATGTGTTCGTTTCATAAATGTTTGTAAAGTCCGCGCGACACAGAATATTATTATTATAGGGGGCGTTTCTTTAAAAAAATTGTTTAGTTAAGTAAAAAATCAGGAAATCATATCTTTAGTTGTCTATTTTTGTAGTTATTAATCGAAAGCTTTTGAAAATAGGTATGTACTTACGTTAGGTTGCTACTAAGTATTCTACAGGTTTGTCTATATAACTAAAGACAATTTGATAAAGAAAGCCGACAAGAATGTTTACCTCTCGCCACTACAAGAAATAAGTATAATTATGAATATGTACATACCCATGAAGCAGGAGGATATCTCGGGAAAGGTGCGATGCTCTTGGTGGCGATATTACTCGGCAATTCGTGCTTTATTCCTCTCTTTAAGCGCTGTTTTCTTCTTTCCCGTGATTTGGATCTTAGCATAAGAGCCGCCTGCATACTTGCCAGGTTTGAGGCCGTTAGTAAGCACCGGCAGAAAACTCAACCAGAGGCCTGCAGCGCCTTAGTGACACACGGTCACAGAAGCAAGATCGTGTTCGACACTTTTTACTTCACCAACACAGTCACCGCGAATTGACACTTAGTTAACTCGGTTTTAGTATTCGTCTAGAGTAGAAATCTAGCGCGCCTACACTATTATTAACTAGTTATTTAAGTTGAAATATAAAGAATTTTATTTACACGTTGAACCCAGTATCACTCTTATATCAGTCCCATCACAGACTTAACTACTTTCTACTAATCTCACTTTAGAATGCTTTAGAATTAGATTGAGATAGGCACAAGTAAGGCTCAAAACTATTTTGAATTATATCTAATATAACTATTATAATATATTAATCGACTTATATTACGATATGTTTAGTGTTAGAAGAAAATATGTAATGGAAGCAAGCGCAATTTGGCGTTTAATTTAAAGTTTGCTCAGATCGTGTTCGTGAATCACACACACTGTGTATACCCGATCAAGTTTCGTTCCGTACGTCGAGCCGTAGTCTCTGGTTCTTCGACACCTGCCATCGGACGCCAGTGCCCACTAGGTGTCGCTGTTTCATGGCCGGCCCACTTGTCTCACTGCACTCAATAACACTTCAGAGTAACACATGTTACAGACTCGGAGCGCACGCTACGCTATACTAAATCGGTGGCTAATTAAGGATCCCCAAAAACGGATTAAAGATGACGTCGACTGTACGTTGCATTGTCTCATATGCATGCTTATATTAACTAACTATGGAATACAATAAACATTGAATACATACCTATGCACGCTACTTACACCGACGAGCAAAACCGCTAGAGCATATCCTAGTCCTCTGTACATACACAACACATAAGAATATGATGTACCATGCTTATGCTAGCATACATTGAAACACTCATATGGTAGATGTTCTGAGGTCTACCTCTGCGGGGTCGCATGGCGAAGGCGGGCCGGAGAGCGGGACGGAGAGCGGACGGGCCGGAACGGGCGCCTGGAGGCGCGACTCCCAATGCTGGCAGGAGAAGGCGCGGACGCCGGTCGGCGCGGGGTGGAGCGGGCTGTGTGGGTGCGGGCTCGGCGGCGCGGGCTGGCGGCCGTGCTGGCGCGCCTGTAATAGAGGAGAGTTGTTAATTTCAAATAAGAATAAAACATCAATAGCCCATTTTAATAATAAGTATAGTACTGCATAATAAGACACTAAGAATGTTTAATTACTTTTATATCTAACATAAACAACCACGACTTCGAAGAAAGTGCATTCCAGAAGCCTGAAATTTTGCGACCCCTGACGTTACAAAGTTAAACCACCAAATGAGCTCATAAACGTTTTTCTAGGGTATTCCTTTTTACATCGCGACCTAATTTGCTTACATTTAGAAAATCAGTCTGTACTAAGTATTGTATTAGGTAGATGAGAGTATTACCTTACGGCCCGCGAGCGAGGCGCCGCCCGCCGCAGCGTACATGCACCGCCGGCGCGCGACGCTCAGCTAGCGCCGGCCATCTCGTGGCAGCTGCCGCGCCGCGCTACGCTGGCTGCCCACCGCATCCGTGTGACAATCACCAACGCCTGCGATATCATACATTTAAATGTAGGCTACAATCACTTTAGAAAATAGCTACTTCACAAGAAACGTCAGAAAAATGGTTGATAAATACAGAAGAAAAAATATATGTTCTACTTAGACTACCTAGCAGTATGTAACTTACTAAATTGTTAATAAATATGTAATATTTAATGCCTAATAAAAAAATACTTAAATTAAACCTGGTTAACAAAATCTAAGTCCAAGTTTAAGCTGTGAGTGCGCAAGTAAATTCTCAAGACCAAGGTACCCTAGTCAAGAACGCAAACCTTGTTAAATTGTGTGAGTGCATTTCGTGGATGCCGGCTAGTGGCAGGACTCACTGATCCTTGAAAAGAGCTCTGGTAGGATATGAAGCCCGTCGGCCATCATCCACAAGTTAAATAAACCGTATATTTAATAAAAATATATGTAATACATAAATATTATTCAGAAATATTATTTCAAGAGTTCGAACACCTTAGTATCAAAACTTATAATTAAATAAATTATCTACGGTTCTCAAAACATATTTGCGACAGTGCAATATTTAATTTAATAGTCTTTCTTATAAATATTTTATGTAGTCACCTGCAATAAAATAGTACACTTAATGATACAAATATTCACTTGAAATCATAAGAGTCATCAGCCATCTTTTTACCCTTTTTAAATTTAAGCAGGTGAAGGTGAGATAATTTAGAAATTGAATTTTATTATGTGACTTTATTTATCTTGTTTCTGTCCAGTGACTGTGGTTGTGTTTCAATTTGTTGAATATGTTCAATAAATATTTATCGCAAGACATTAAACGCGTTTGCTCAGACATGCCATCGTCTTGAAAGACTGCCATGACCCGGTTTCCCAAATCACTTACAACTTCCTCCGATAGATAACTAATTAGTTGTTAAGTTAGTGACCTTTTTTATTTCTATGTCAACACGATATAAAGCGGTTTTAGTGATTTGGGGTTTTGTTACTACGAGTAGTAGTACCTATATTGTGCTAGTTGTTTTTTAAGACGCAAAACGCTATGATGAATTTTTATAAATTGAATTAATGCATAGCCAAGAAGAAAAAAAAGGAAAAATAGTTTTTGTGGTATAAGGGGTCAAAGGAGCAGCCGGGTCATCTGATGGTTAGTGTCTTCTGACATTTGTTAACCTAGAATCATCATTAAATATTATTCTTATTAAATCAATTGCTAAGACAGTCTAAATCACCATAGATATTTTCGGCATTTTAAACAAAAAGAAGCATAAGTCGTCATAGACAAGTATACTTTGCAGTCTTGAAAAACACCCTGCAGTCTTAATATAATAATTTGATTCTTATGAACAACTTATCTTCATTCAGTCCCTTTGTCATCAATGATCAGACTGACATCTTCAAACAATTTTTGTAAATTTGTGATCCATCAAAGTTTGGATTGGAAATAATCTTGTTTATGTAATTTAGTATCTGAACAAATATCTCGATTATCGAGACGAATCAACTCAAAGTTTAAAACTTAATCTTAACTATTTTTAAAGACATATATTACACTAACGGGTCATTTACTTAAAGTTACAATGCACTTCTTTTTTTAAATAGGAAACATTAAACTATGCAAGAAAACCGTTACTGAAATATTTCTCCGACTGCGTAAGAATAATTTTGTGTTTGTATTTGCGATTCGCTCTCTATGTTGGAGGAATACAAAAGTACTTTTGTACATATGAAAGTTTCCGTCCACACATGCGTTTTCTTCACATATGGCGCTTAACCTTTGCCGAAACTTCTAATAAACATTATGTTCTAATACTTTGTAAAAATTACATATTTATTATTCTGTATTCAAGGTTAAATTTATTTATAGCTTAAAGTACAGATAAGATAGGGTTGTTAAAGAATTTAGACTTATATACCTAGCATTAGGCTGTTCAAGTTACAAGTATATTGCTTTGACCTTTTCGATGATAATATCCCATTCCTTCCATTCTCTTCTCTCATTGGTTTCCGTTCCTTTTCAATATAGCCTCAATTTTCCCAGCTTTAATCCCTGAAATGTTTCGTTGGCGGCAATAAGCTTCAGCAAAGTTATATTTAGCAAAATGTGGGTATACCTGTAGATAGAATTTATGGTATATATTTCATCATTGATTGTAAGCTACCGTTTTTTTATATTTTTATAAAGACAAGGTATACTTTATGGGTAATTAAAGTTAAAAATTTAACCCTCGTTAATTTAATTACTATTTTTGTTAAACATAGCCTCTATCCTCCAAAAGCGAATTTAGTGTGAATATTGAATGACTGAGTGAATTGATAGAAACATTATTGTGAAGTTGACAAAATGAACGTCAAAATCATCCGATACCTACATTTAATATTTTCTTCGGGGGTAAGTTAACATTTTATGTATTTAATGCCAAGAATGTTCGTAGAGCGTCCAGATTTTTAATATCGGTAGAAAAAGAAGAATAACATTAGTAACATTACACTTTTTTTATTATATGTTGTTTAGAAATGTGTACCTAAACTGAAAAACATTTTTCTTTCCAAAACTTTCTTCTCAAAAATAAGTTTTCAAATTAAACCACGTGTTGGCTTCACATGACCCTCCTATAAAATTAGACTACACTTTTCTGTTTTTTGTTGACCCCCTAACAATCCACTCCCTCACGAATCCTCAGAATCAGTGTTGAGCTTCGGTAACCTCATTCTCAGTAAAAGCAACGAAAGGGCTGTTTTTTTTATGGTATAAGGGGGCAAACGAGCAGACAGGTCACCTGATGGTAAGCAACTACCGCCGCCCATGGACACCTGCAACTCAAAAATCACAAGTGCGCTGCTGCCCTTGGAGTCCCTCCCGCTCGAGTCAGCGGAAGGGGGGATTTAAGCTCCGGTAACCCCACTCACTCAGTGAGAGGCAACGCGCTTGTGACTCCTGAGTTGTAGGCGTTCATGGGCGGCGGTAGTCGCTTTCCATCAGGCGACCCGTCTGCTCGTTAGCCCCTTTTTTTTTGTGAGGCTGTGGTGTCACTGCGGTCGGGTTTAATTCGGCTTATACGTATGTTTATTCTACACAGTTACAAAAGTGTACTTATACTCTCAAAACAGCGTGTATGAGCTAATTCTAAAACTACTAGGGTTTTCTAACAACTATATAAGTTTAATGGAATAAACAATCGAAGCGAGGCTCGCGCCAATCTAAATTAATGACCTACCCGGGCAAGGCGTTTACCAAATCTTGTTCTACAATGCTCCAGAGATTTGTTCAACACATTTGCGTATGGATTATAATAGCGTGCGAAGATGAACCCGTATTCATGGTTAGTAGGAGCAGTTATCATCTGATACCAAATACCGTGTTCGATGATCTTGTGTTTATAGTCTGTAAGACAGACTTTAATAATATCTTATGTTAACCAAAAAAGGATTTTTAGATACTTGCGCTACGCAATGCATTAAAAATGATGTTAGATATCACAAACAATCTATGGCAAGATTTCCAATTGGTGTTATTTTAAGAAAATCTAGTCTATGGTTTTCCATTTTAATAATGTTTTAAATACTTGTAAATTTGCTGTATCGACTGAAAGTAGATTGGTTTTATACGCATAATGATTAACAAATGCCTTCAAAAAATTAATATAAAACTTTTGGAACTTTTGGACGTGCATGTTCCACAGTTTCTCAAAAAGAACATTTGAAATTTTGTGACAGGCATTATAGCACATTGTATTTTGGGTCCCAATTAAGCACGAATTAAAAATTCCGTTACAGCAACATACAATTCTAGACAATAATAATATATAATCCGTTCCAGTTCATTAGGCACAGCGTCCCAGCAACAGTTTATACCACACTCTATATACATACTATTTTTACAGTTACACCTAAACAGTTATTGTTCTGAGTATATATAATCTATACTATCATTATAAATCTGAAGGTTTTCCTTGTAGGTTGGATAGGTCGAACGCGCTTTTCGAGACAATTTTTGCCCCGCACAGCCAATCTGTGGAACGTGTTATCATCTGCGGTATTTCCGGACCGAAACGACCTTCAAACCTTCAAGAAAAGAGCGTACTCCTTCCTAAAAGGCCGGCAACGCGTTTGTGACTCCTGAGTTGCAGACGTTCATAGGCGGCGATGGTCACTTTGTCAGTTGACCCGTCTGCTCGTCTGCCCCCTCTAACATAAAAAAAAGAATACTGGTTCAAAATAAAAAAAATATTTTTGTTTCGGATAGCCCATTTATCGAAATAGTCAATAGGCTATATATAATATGATCACGCTATGACTAAGAGGAGCAAAGTGTTAATGAAAAATGACGCAAATACCGGGCATATTTGTTCCTTTTGAGAGAAGAAAGGTCAGCTAGTGAATTATGTAAAATTAAATGCTGATTCAAAAAAAAATGTTCAAAACAAGACTATTATTCGAAAACCTTACACCAAGCCGTTTCTTTAGCATTTCCAAACTACAGTAAATTCGAAACAATATGTAAAATATTGACTCTTTAAATAAATTCATTGTACGGCCGCAATAATGATGTATGCGTACACAAGTTGTAATGAACTACCTGTTTGTACCTTGTACTCGTACAACAATACACGAGAGAAGTGCCCTTAAGTGTAAGGTAGACACGTAACGTTACTTACTAAGGATGATGAATTGACAATTGGCACTGAGAAAATTAAGTACATGCATATGTACTACAGGTTGTGGTGTTAGTGAATTAACGTTCCAGTTTACGTTACATAAATATATCCTCAACATGCTAGTAGTAGAGGTTTCGTAGGATTGTTTCTTATTTTTCTTTCTTTTTAAAAGACAACTAGTGCACCATGAATATATCTGTTGCGAGGGACTTTACAAACATACATGAAACGGATCACACAAACTGTTGTCCAATATGGGGGTCCCACAACACTCAGCGCTGTAAGAAGTGGCAAGGTGGCCGTTTAAACCACTATGCTAGCCGTACAGGCAGCTGGCACTTTGTCTAGTGGTTACTGAGTCTGACTATTAAGCCAGGGTTTGTGAGTTCGATTCCCCCTAGGACAAACAATTGTGTGACGATATTGAGAAGGGACGTTAATTAATCTGTAGTAGTTCAAATATAATTTCAATAAAATAAAATAGTTTTTTTTTACTCAATTGTATAACTTTTAAGATGTATAGTTTGATACAAAGCTTGAGAAATACACAAAAACTAAAAAGTATGACAGTTACAAAAAAATGCATGAAAATTGGAATAAAAATAAACTATAAAATGAATCGTATACACTTAAACAAGAAAGCTGATGAGTTTTTGTTTGTTTGTGGAATTCATTGGAACTAACAGTTGGATTTTAAAAATCCTTTTTGTATTTGATAGAATATTTATTGGCACAGGTTCGTTA